TTAATTGCCTCCAGAACACTGGGGATGGTGCAGGTTGCTGGTAATAAACCAGAGCCTGTCATTTCTCAGAAAAATTAAAGAAACCTGCAGTGCTAGCTTCAGAAAGTCTAGTTTGTCACCTTCAATTCCAGGCTATGTTTCACCTTTAACTGTTTCAAGTTATTTTAGCTCTCACGATCTAGTTATCTTCCTAATACAACTGGGAGGGAGGGAGGGAGGGAAGAAAGAGTAGGAGGGAGGAGGGAAGGAGAAGTAAGAAAAGAAGGAAGGGAGGAAGGAGAAAAAATGCTTTATCAAGTTTAAAGTAAGGAACAAGTCTGAAATTTTTCTCAGCTGTTAAAGGGTGATTATGGACTAGGAAAGGTTGTGTAATGTATAATGTGGTTTGTTGGTTTGTTTAATCAGAGAGAAAGAGATGGTTTGACAAATGGCAACTTACAAACATGACTTAGCACATATTTTTTCCTATTTTAAAAGTTCTTAGTCAACAACTAGAAAAAGGTAAATATATTGCTAACCTCATGTTTCTAACAGAGGCAGGCTAAGAACCCTAAAGGACCTTTCCATTGCAGAACAGCCAGAGCCTGCAAAGGACTTTTTAAGCAGTTGTTGGCCTTGAGCAACAAAAGATTGCCCTTTGAAAAGGGGAGTTACTTGGGCCCTCCCTGATGGCACAACTAGTTAAAGAAAAGCACTATGAAGCTATTACAGCCACTGCAGCACAAGTTCGATACCCCACCAAGGAGCTGACCCACCCACTGCTTCCTCTATCTGCCTGTTCTGCTCCCCTCTCTTCCTCTGGTAAATCCTCTCATCGCTCCTGTACCACTGCCAGTACCGCAGTTCTGTATGCATAAGTAAAATAAAATTTTAAAAATAAAAGAAAAGGGGAGGAACTTGGTACAGAGGGATAGAAATCAGGGCCAGGCAGGAGTCACAGCAGCCATCAGAAAAGGATGGGGGGCCCTCCACCTGCCCCCCCCCCAAGTGGCGCAATGGCTTAGGACACAGCACTGCAAGCTATCATAGCCACTTCAGTACAAGTTTGATTCCCGGCCCCGGAGGTGATCCACATGGCGCAACAGACCTCTCCTGACCCGCCCGCTGCTCCCCTCAGTAGTGTACTTCGACAGTCTGCCTGTTCTGCTCCCCATTCTGTCTCCGGTGAATCCTCTCAGGCCAGAGGCCATCAGGAGGCCTCAGGAAAAACTTTTGATAAGTAATTCCCTGAGGCAGTAATCAAAAGCCCTTTCAATGTAGGGTAAGACACAGGCAGTGTCCACAGGTGCCGGCCTTAGCGAGGGCCCTGGGAGACTCACTCAGATCTCTGCAGAGAGGAAGCTGCTAGGGGGAGGGGCGCAGGCAGTGCCTAGGTTCCCTGTGTATTCTGCTCCATACAGATTACCTCTTACTTGCATATAGTATCTATCCATAAAAATGAATTATCAAGTTTGGGGAATATTTTTAAAAAGACACAAACTACATGGCTTCTCAACAGGAAGATACATGAAAGGATATTTTTAAGAAAAGCCAGTTTTCGAGAAAATAATAATAATGATGAACAGTTATATACCAGAGATATTTTATGGGGGTGGAGTGGGGAATGGGATCAAAAACAGTGGGGGGAGGGAAATGCACTGGACTATGGTAATGGCACACAGGTGATTTGGTGATGGGAAGCCCACAGGAATGAAAAAGGCACTGAGATAAAAAAAAAAAAAGGCACAAAATGATGTAAAAATAAACTATTATATTATTTTTTAAAAAAGAAAGAAAAGCCAGTTTCTTGGTCAAAACGTAGGCCAACAAATCTTTCCAGAAGTTTTCCAAATATATTAGCCCCAATACTATAGAAAATGGTTGTTATTTATATATGCTAATGTGAGGTGGGAATCTTGGAAAACTGGGGGACACTGTGACAAAGACAAGAACCATAGTACTTACTTGAGCTATCAGCTGACTTTAAGACCTACTTCCACAAATCAATAGGCAGCATTTACTTTGAAGTAGAACGTGCAACCACAATGAAACTGTCTTTGGGTCTCCATGGTGGGTAAGTCTCAGGCTACCACCACAGCCCTCCACAGAGGTCAGTGACTTCCATGGCACAGAGACCCCTCCTGTCTCACCCTCTGCTCCCCTCAGCAGTGTATTTCAGTGGATCTGCCTGTTCTGCTCCCCACTCTGTCTCTGCAGAATCCTCTCACCTCTAGCCTACACCCCAGTTCTTATGTGCATAAATAAATAAAAATAAATCTTTCAAAAATAAGGGAGGAGGGAGATATAGATATTGATTAGCTCTAGGTCTTATTAGAGAAAGTTTATTTTTTTAAATGTATTAATTTATTGTCTTATATTGTGGGTCATCTTTCTACAGTTATTGTTCCCCTTATGTGTGGCCCTCCCACCCACAATCCACCTGCATACCATGCCCCCTCCCCTATGTCTACCTCCCACTCCTCCCCTTGCTGCAAGGTTTAGGTCTATGGTCTGCCTACAGGCCTTATCTTTTTTCTGGAAATTTGGCATTTTCCTGGGCAAGGCCCTGGGCTCCTGGACCACAGAAGATCAGGCTATTTAAGTAAGTGTGTATCAATTTAAAGGTAGCCACTAAACGTATAAAAGTTCAATAGAAAAAAAAAATTGAGTAAAGAAACTTGATTAATCTGGGCCTCAGGAGTTAGGGACAGCGCTATCAAGCTATCTCCAGCCACAGTAGCATGAGTTAGATCCCCGTCCCCAGAGGTGACCCACATGACACAGCAGACCTCTCCTGTCTCGCCCGCTGCTCCCCTCAGCAGTGTACTTCAGTAGATCCACCAGTTCTGCTCCCCACTCTGCCTCTGGTAAATCTTCTCACTTCCACATCTCTGGCCTATACCCCACTTCTTCCACGCAAAAATGAATATAATCTTTTAAAAGAAAGAAACAAAAGGTTTTGTGCTCACTCCCAGTCCTTCAGGGTACATTCCCAGGTGTCCTGGCTCCACCTCTCTGCTGTAGAACTTCTCGCCAAAGGTTGGAGAAGCAGAGAGATTTTGACTTGTGAAAAGATGCCCCAGACCAAAAGTTGTACTTAGTTATCTATGGTTCTTACCCCAAAAAACAGGAAAGAAGAAACTGTATGATAAATAGGACATTCTTCCATTGGTTGAATTCAGTAGCCTATTATCAAAAAAACAAGAAAAGTAATGGTTAATAATACTGCAATTTAAACCTAATGATCTTACCATCTAATGATTTTAGCAAGGGGCACTTCAAATTAGAAACCACTTTCTCAAACAAAAAAAACATGCTTTAATAAATCCTAGGTGATAGCAGTCAGATAACATTGGGCATTTTATTTCCTCCCTGAACCTCACGTTCATTTTACAAATAGGCATCATTTGTTTTAACTGCCTCTAAAGGTCAAGCTGAGGTTTTAATGACATTGTTTAAAACTCTGCAGGTGGCAGGAACAAACTGTATGCTGGGGTTTTCATTATAATCGCTACTGATTTATAGCCACAAAATCAGAGATGTATCTACTTTTTATAAATAATCTCAGGAGATTACTGATTGATATTAATTACATAATTAAAATTAATATTGACAATACTACATTTATAAAAAGATTTTCTAGATTTTCAAATGCTTAGAACATATCACGAATGAATTTTTGTTATGACTAGCAAACATGTGACTAGAGGAGATGAATAGACTGAAAAGTTTCTGCTCATAATACACAGCTGAGAAAATTAGATTAACCCTTTTGAAATGACAGGTAGGTTAAAAGAAATATTCTATTCATGATTTGTTCCTTGCCTACATCCAAAATTAATTTTAAGGTAACTCAAAACTATACATGTTGAATACATATGTGTGTATGTGTGTATATATATATACATATATATATACATACATATACACATACATGTATGTGATTAAATATATATTCTATTCACTTTCTACTAAACAATATTTTGTTAACTTTCCTAACTTGTTATATTTAAAACTGTTTAAATCTTTTTAAACTTTATCATTCAACATTTTTAAACCAATTAGAATGAAACCTCTCCTCCACTGGTAAAACCTGTCACACTCTACTGTAAAAGTTTCGCAAGTAACACTTTGCCCATTTCACTTTTTTATCTTTGTTTAAGATATAATTTACATAGAACAATATGTTAGGTTCAGATGTACAATATGATTTGATCTATGTATGTGTTATGAAATGATTATAGTAAGTCTAGGTAATACCTATTACTAATTAATTCCTTGTGATGAACTTTTAAGATTTATACTTCTACAGATGACTAGATCAAGAAGATGTGGTAGACATACACCAATGGAATATTATACAGCAATCAAAAGGACAGACTCTTGCTATTTGCAGCAACATGTTGGATCTGCAGAGGATCATGCTCAGTGGAATAAGGCAGACAGAAGGAAAAAGAAAAATATTGGATGGTGTCAATTATAGAAGGAATATACAGGAACCAAGTTAGGGGTGGGAGGAAGAAAAAACTAGCAGGAAACTATAAATCTGAGACATTTAGGAATGGAGGGGAAAAGAGTGGGATTAAAACAGGGAAACAGGATCAAAACTGGGGTGGGAAGAACACATAG